AGGAGTGAGGATTGTGGATTTTCCTTTGCCTCCAGCCAAGTTGGTCAACAACTTGTTCAGTCTGCCGACCATCTTACTGGAATCCTTGATGAGACCAGCCGTTATCAGGGCATTATCGTAAATCTGTACAAGCTCGATAAAAAGGACTGATTTGCTTCGTTACCTGTTCTACTAACAGAGCAGCAACTTCCGGATCAGATCGCTTGAGTTGGTATAAACTTTTGACTAGAGGATGAGTTAAGTTCACATGAAGAGTTGGTTGGAAGTACACCTAAAACAGCCAGTAACCAAAGAAATTTTTCTTCAACCAACCAAGTGTTCCATATCTTTAACTTCACCAGTTCTTAAAAAATGCCTTGCAGCCCCCATTTCATGTTTCACAGTTATCATACATGGATGCTCCGAAGGTCTGTGACTGCCAGCAATCTCGAAAACTTTAACAGATCCCAGAGTGTTTTTGACCCAGTCAAGAAGCTCTTTCTTGTCTACATCACGGAACTCCTCTGAATGTACTCATTAGGATAAGACGTGTTTGATAAGATTACTTGACTCTTTTTGTTCCTCAGGCTTTTCAGCTTCTTGGGCTGCCCAACGTTCAACAGTGACCAACTGTTTCATTTGGAATTGTTGGAGAGCGAGGAAAACTACTTCATCGGCAGCCTCATAAAGGAAGAGAACTTCTTTGTTTTGAGATTTAATGACTTCATAGTAAGGTGAGTTTTCGGCCAGGTTACGACTGAAGAAAAGTTATGGTTACCATACATATAGCTATATCTTACTTTGGGGAATACATGTAGTAAATTTCCTTCTGATCGGTTTGCATTCGTTTGACATAATCAGCCAAGCTTGTCAGTTCTCCGGACTTCAAGTTGGAGGACTCGAACAGCAACAACTTTCCGACATCTTCCTGAAGAGATTATGATTTAACTAAGTCGTTGAGGAAATCGAGAAAGAGCTATGCAGCTCGCGTCAGTTTGTAACCTCAATCTAGTTTACACGAACCTTCACATTTTGATCGGCTTCAGTAACAACACCTTCTTTGAGGAAAAGGTTGTATTGTTTATAGAATTCGGAATACTTTACTGGATCCTTCTTCATCTCAGATGCTAAGTAAGCCAGTATCTTGTCCGTTAAAATCTTCTTGAGCTTCCTGAAACGATTTAATTCAAATTAGATTTTTCAGATCAACAACCTTAGAATAGGATTATTCTGTAACATTTCTCTGCTCAAATTCAAAGGAATATCTTCTGAATCTACCACTCCCATGACAAATCTCAGATATCTAAAATAACAAAGAGTCAAGGTTTTGGACTTCTCGAACATACGATGGAATGAGCTCCTGTGCATTGGGCTTGATCAGTACTCTTCGAGCATACAAGGAGAGTCCGCATTCCTTATGATTAGAAGCAAATTCTAATTGCGAGAAGTTGTGATGTGGGATATAGAGAACAGAGCGCACTGACAACGGAGTGTCCGTCTAAAAAAGATGTTAGGGTAACGTATCAGAAACAAAGATACCTTATAATGAATGGTATAAGCTGGACGCTGGAAGATATCAGCTTTTTTTTGTGATTTAGCTAAATGTCTAAAAGAATGAGGTAATCGACATTCTAGTTGAAACTCACGAGAAGAAAGATTCATGCATCTCTTTCGTCACATCCTTAGGTTGCATGGTCCATATGGCATTGAGACTGTTAATTCTCTCCCCATTCAGGAGAATTGGAGAAGATACAAAATAAGAATACTTATTGATCACCTTCAAACTTGTTCGTTATCACAATACATGTATATAGCTTACCTCGGAGATTCTGTCTTTGTTAGCATATTCGGCTGATTCACCATCTTTCAAGTGGATTTCAATTTTGGTTCCTGTCTGAGCATCAGCAACATCGGCGATTTCATAAGAGTTATCCCTACACATTTGACATATTAACAAATGATTGTTCGTGAATACCCATTCCAAGTCCAGCGTAGGCCTTCATTAGGAGATGAACCAACTTTGCGAGTTGTTACGGTTACAGCATCAGCCACCATGAAAGCGGAATAAAAACCAACTCCAAATTGTCCAATAACGGCTTCGGCATTCTCCTTATTCTAAAGCGACAACGGTCTCAGTACATTCAATATTTTCTCACGTTCTCCATGAATTCTTTACTACCAGAACGAGCTATAGTTCCCAAACAGTTAACAAGGTCTTCTCTGTTCATTCCGATTCCAGTATCTTCAAAGATAATCTTTCTGCCGGTCTGAACAGTATAGTTGAGTAATCCAGGAGAAAGATCTCACAGGATTACCTCATCAGTAGTGATTCGGATTTCACTGGGCCCTTCAGCTACTACTCCTTTCAATTCTTCACATCTTCTCTTTTCAAGTGCATCCGAAGCATTAGAGATAAGTTCTCTGACAAAAACCTAAGATAACTGATAATGAAAGAAATGAAGATAAGCAGTCTAACCTCACTATGCGAATATAGAGATTTTGCAACTATGTCCATCAAGTTCTTGGTTTCAGCTTGGAAAACGAATTTCTCCTGATTGAACTGTGAGCGAGTAGTGGAGAAAGACTTTCTGGGCTGAGTGAGGACCGGAGCAGATCCTCCTGCAACCGATAACGCCCGCAAAATATCCGGTCGAAAGGTCCTCTTCAATACTAATCGACTTAGCATAATCTCAAAAATTCTTATAATAGTACGATCAGCTTCGACAGAGTCATAGACAAGGTTGGAAATCCAATTCGAATTCATAGAACACTCTTATCAAAATAGTTCATTGTGAACAAGAACAATAAAAACATAAAAATAACTGATACTTGAGGGTACAACGTGATGCTGCAATTGCAACATTGCAATCATGAAAGACAGAGCAAACTGAAATAGCTAGCGGAGACATTAAACTTTGCGTATAATTAGGAAACGACATACTATTATCTTTGTTGAGCTACTTCAGTGAAATTTTCATCAAATTTACCTTGAGAACAACATTTCAATTGTCTCCATGTCGTCTTCATTTACTGGAACTGGAAGATGCCACGTCAGCTTCATAAAGCACCGTCTACGTCATTACTAATCTTTAAAATTGCAATGTTCGCTAAAAGCTGAAAATGATCAGAGAAACTTCATCAATTGATGAATTAGTGAAGCTTTGAAATATCTGCTCAATGTCCACTAGTTGAGAAAGGAAACAGATAAACATAAGTAACTAAAATAAACAGACAAACGTAAACTAACGTATTTAACTTCTTTCAATAACATGGCTTTGAGTTTTGGAAGCTCTCGTGTGCTTTCAATTTGTATTCAATTATTATTTGACTGTGTCAAAATTAAAATGACTTTTCAAGTAACGGTTTCTTACTCAATACCGCATTACAATACACGTGTTCCAAATAGAAATGGAAACTTGCGTATTCATAGTATGAAGAACAGATAAAAAGCCCAATAGACGAGTAGATATGTATTGATCAATTAATTAGCATTCATAGGGATGAAGTTCGATGTTTGCCCTGTTGGAAAATCATTTAAGTGATGAAGCTCGCGTGAACGGTTGTTTTTATATTCAAACCAAAGACGAACAAAACGAAATTTATGAAAAATTGGGATTTTTCAGTATCAAATAACTTAATGACGACGAATATAATATTGGGGACGTTTCCCGACGGAACTTTTCATCCATTTTTTAATATACATTTTCTCTGTTTCACGCACTTTCTTGACCTGGAATCCGAATTACAAACTTTCTAACTCAAATAGTCTTACCTCCTCTGTATCGTCTGGGTGTGCACCTCGTAAATCATAGTGATGAGCACCTTCTTTGAGAATAATGGACACTAGGGAACCTTCAACTTTACTCTTTGCTGACCAACCTCCTCCACTCCATGGATCAAGATAGCCATTTCTATTGTGCAGTATTAAGTCATCATGACTATAAGTTTATGCTTACGAGAAAATTATGTTGGTTGCAGTAGGGAAATCGGTACCATAGTTCTGAGTAGCCCAATGTGGTCTTAACATCGACCTGTCGAATCCGATGCTTCCGAATCTGAAAACACAATCTTATAACGTTTCTTATTATTTTCTTTACGTGTCGTTGCAATATGAGTAGTACCCTTCGACTGAATAAGGACAATCTTTCCAGAAGAAATCGTTTGGAGGTCCACTGGCGCACAAGGGCATTACCATTTCTGTGCATGTCTAAACAAGACTAGTATTCAATTATAAGAAGGAATTATCACACCTGCCATGGCCAACCTAATGGATCTCCAAGTGCAGCAAAAGCACCGGCGCATTTGGCAGCATTTGCGCACAAAGAAGTAACAGTTCCTGTATAGTTATAATATAGGTTGACTACCTAAATAGCTGTAAAATGATTTGAAAATAAAATTCCTAACGTACATTGTATAACTGAGTGACAGCTTCCTCATCTGATGTTGGAACGTCAGCGAAAAACTTGCATGCTTTCTTCACAGGCCAGCCAGGTAGAGATGAGAGGAATGATGTGGGATAAGGGTAGTTCACCATGGCCATACTCTCAAAAACTTCCCTACACGGATTGATTAATTGTTATTATGGAACTGGCGAAACCTTATATATGCAGCCAAAAACTGATGATCCTCGGGAGTGTTCAGCCAAGACTTTCTTTCCAATTTGAATAGGTTGTTCAGATAGCGGCGACCATCATCTATAGTTTGAATCATTTGTGGAACAGTTTTGGATGATCGTTCAAACTTGTTTGAGCTAAAGCTTTCAGAGAGTACCATCCGCGGGTGATGGCTTTTGCTTTACAACCACTATCCACGAAAGCACGTGTTACTATCTGATGCTCACGTTTATATAGTTATAAAAATGGTTAAACCTCAGCGTAAACATCTTCTTTGACATGGGAATCCAAGAACCAGAAGACAGGAGCTGATGCAGCTATAGCTCTTAAAAGTACTGCTTTCTACATTTGATCACATTCCGAATTACCCTTGAACTTTGTGAGGATATTTAATTCTGAGCCAAGCTGAAAGCATTCCTCCGTACGATCCACCAAAAGCAATTACAGAAGCGTTTGCTGCATCATTCAGTCTCTGTGAAGGAGGAATTCATCAGAGATGAAAGGTTCACTCACCGCTGTTCGCAGATAATCAATCAGAAGAACGAAATCAGCTAAAGCTTGTTCGGAACTCAGAAAACCCAAATTACGAGTGTTGGTGTAACTAATTAATGTTTAGAAGACACAAATCCGATAAATGCCTACCTAGCATTGCGGTAAGGTTGGGTCTTTCCATAGAATCGGTGTTCTGCAAAAATGACAGCAGCATTCAGCTCTGGTGCGAGATCCCACATGAAACCCTGAAGCATTCTTATCATGTACTATTCGATGAATCTATGATTACAGTGTTGGTTGCAAATCCTTCCAAGTTGCCTTCATTACCAGTGTAGAAAAGAATCGGGCCACCTGGCTTATACGATTCGGTGTTAATGAAAAACCTTAAAATTAAAGTCAGCTTTAGCTCACGGTGAATCAACCTCAATGGAAATGTGTCTGTGTTTGCGAAAGAGAAATGATCAACAGGAACACTATCCAACCATTCTTCAGACCATGTATAACCATTATTGTTGTTGTATCTGTTGCTTCTATAAGACTTAGTTTGTGTCCAAGACGAAGGGTCTTGAAGAGGACGACGAGCGGAGCATATGATGCTGAGGGCGAACAAGACCCAAATCAGCATATCTTAAACAGTAAGTTTATTGATATTTTGATAATTAACGAGCAACGAAATTCTCAGAACAACAAATCATACAGTCATACTTGCGCATTATTAGTGTCTTGGCGCTCAATATATCAGTAAAGAGTATCGGTAATAGCCATCTCTATGTGTTGAGCTATTGATGACGACAGTTTGAAAACGACTTTAGTTCGATTTCACAGAACTTTGTCTTCAACAAAACAATTGCTTCGTTAGCTGCTGGTGACCCTTGTCACGCCCTGTCCACAAATCATCTGCTAACAGTTGTCGCCAACCGTGAGAATCTTGACCTAAGAAAAAACTAAAAATAGGAAGAGTGAGATGTAATATCGAATTTATTTCTTTAAAACCATATGAATGGACCAGTAAACCCAAGAAGCCGAATATGAAACATATTCAGTTCGGAGAAT